TATGTAGATATGTAGATATGCGTAGGCCAAATTCCCACGCACCCCATAGCGCAGCGGAGACATTCCCACGTACCCCAAACGCAGGTAGCGCAGAAGGAGGAAGAAAAGGGAAGGAGGGAATGAGCGAAAGAGGGAGCCAGGGTTCCACATGTAATTTGAGTTACCGCCCCTGCCTCGTCCCAACTGCGTGTACCACATCAGACTAACGAACCCCAGTACACGACGGGACGCCTCGTTGCATGTTTGTTTGTGCTTCCAAACAGGATAGTCTTTGTGACCCATAGAAGTCGAGAATCGGGAGATCGGATCAAAGTCTCGGTCTGTGGGGTTCTGCCGGTGTCGGTTCATCTAAGTATAGTCTATCGTTATCCTTTGATGCCAGGATGATCCACGATGGCCTGAGATTAGGTTAGAAGCCACCTGTTTCCCCGGGCCCCGCCCCAATAAGGACCAGCATTTCTCACGTGCTGGGACGTTCTCCGAGGACCGCAGATCTTTGCGCCGGGGGAACGGTGCCTACATGGTAATGATTATAGGACTAGAAGTTGGATCTCCGTAGCTGGCTGGACTTTGACAAGGAGTCCTCCTAAACCCTAAACCCCTAAACCCTAAACCCATAAACCCTAAACCTTAAACCAAGGAGTCCTCAGCCTGTGTAGCACGATCTGAAACAGGCTTTGACGCATGCAAGGCCCGGAGCCTTGAGTTTCAGGACCTCAGCTTAGACGACATCTTGACGAGCGCAGCCTACAAAGCGGAGGACGGCCGACCAGGGTATATACTGGCATATACTTGTAGGGTTTCGGATATAAGGTGTAGGGTATGCAGGGTCTCAGTCAAGATAATTGCAGGTCTTTGAGTGCAGTAGCAGAAACGGAGGGTATGTATGGCTTAGGGGTACACAGGGTTTAGGGGATCAATGCAGTGTTTGCCCCTGTTATGGTTTGAGTTCGGCGGAAACGGGCTGTGGAGACTTGGGATGAGAGGCGGAGGGTTCTTAGAGCCCGTGGACACAGCGTCTGAGACCCCGCCACGAAGCGGTTGAAAAACCGGTACTGCCATCCTTATATATATATGTATATATATAT